GAATGGTCTAAAATACCTTCAGCCACAATCCAGACTCTCATTAGAAGCTGTATGAAGTGTTTAGAGGCTATTTCTGCGAAAGGAGGAGCTACTAAATATTGAGGTAAGGTTTTTTTATGGTGCCCAAATTTATACACCTGCCTAATTTTGTTTAAACAATTATTGCACACTTTCTGTATATCATATCAACTTCATTTCACTTCTCAACTATCACTGTGTTTGTCCCCTATATGATATATTTAACTGATTTTTTTAATCCAAACAATTAATGATTTATAAAGGTAAATCAGGAAAATTAACAAGGCTACCCAAACTTTTGCACCCCACTGTACAGGTACCTTCCAAAGAAAACTCCTTTGGACCACAAGTATCTGTGATCTAACTCTTGTTTTGTTTCCAGAGTTTGTGACCATAGGTCAACAAACAGGGGTCTCAGTGGCATGCGGAGCAACCATACACAGCCACATCAGCTTGGYGCCTCCTTTCTTTACTAGTTCTGTTCTTATCAAATTATCACCTAGTATTCTTCAAACACTTTAAACAAGTTAAAAGTAAAAAGACTTAATTTAATTAGAAACTAGATGTATTGAGAAAAGCTTATCAAAACGACTGCCTCCAACCATCGGCTCTCAACAGCTGAACCTTAACGTGGAATCAAAATATAGAACGGGACAAAATGATTAATTTGTCTCATCTGTTGTAACAAAATAAACTGCGTATATGTAAGCAATGTAAAACAAAAAGCAGGAAGCCCTGCAGAAACAGTCAATGGGAGGGTCTCAGCAGGCTCTTTGATCCTTGCAGGGTTTTACCATCTGCAACAGAACTCCCATCAGATTCAAAGAATCCTTTACTCAACAAAAGAACATGTGCTGTGCACATCAGTCAGCTGATAAAAGCAGACAGGAAGAGGCTGGGCTTCATTCACTCTCTGATATTCTAATGTCTTCTCGGGTTRCTCTCTGAACTCCTTTTACTTCAAAGTGTCTGATTAGCTGTTTGAAAGCATGAAAAAATATCTTAGAGACGAAAAGCTTWGTGGAACTCACAAGAGGACAGAAACGTGTAAACAGATTTGTTTTTCCCCCACAAACTGGGATAAAGACTACTGCAGCTGGCTCAGTGGGACACACAGGGTTTTAATCCCGACTCGGCTGTTCCCACAGGCCCTGAAAGCTACATGATTAACAACCAGTAGAGATACGTTTAAGCTTAAATGAATCATCGCAGGAAATGATGTGCACGTGTCATACATCTGCTTTACAGAATCAAAATTTTTACAACATTTGGAAAAGATAAAGTTAATTTTAAGGACACGTAAGGGCTAAGTTAAATTCTTTAGAAATTTAAGGCGAGGTGATGAACAGTTTTTATCTTACCTGTTGCAAATGACTCAATGGATGACTCACTTTAGAGAAACACAGCTTACTTCTGACCAAACTGACAAACTAATAGTTTTGTAAAACAACTTTAATTCTGAAAATGTTGTAAAGAAAACTCCACGTGTTTCATTTACCCACGAGGCCTCAGTGTTAAGAGCAAGGGTTGTTTGAACCCAAGGGCAGCAGGAGGGCTTATGTATTTGAAATTCTGAGTAGTTTAATTTAGATTTGTTCTTATTTTATTCACCCCTTTCTGAGATATGCATTTCTCTGCAATGTATACACATAATGTTAGCATAATTTTAACTCTGCATATTCTCAACACTATGCTGCTGCTTCTATGGCATTTTTACATCAGGAAAGTCTTGTACTTTTCTTATTGTCAGGGAGATGTAGCTTTCCATGCTAAGTACAAGTAGCTATATTTAAACACTGTTGCTGCCGTTTGAAAATTAGAGATCATTGATGCTATATATATATATATAT